TCACCTCCGGGAACCTCTGCTTCCTTATCTCTGCAGTGGAGTTAATTGTAGCACCTGCCTCATAGGGTCATATAAGAATTAAAAGGGGAAAACGGAAGACAGGTTTTAGCATGGTGTCTGGAATATAGTACTTAATAGATATTAGCTATTATTATTTTTAAGACAAAAATAATCTCAAATACTTTCAATCCATCAGAAGAGAGAATAGCTTAAATAATTAATGTTGTGAGAGCAGCATATTCTAGCAAAATAAAGCAGCATGAGAAAAGCTTGGCTATGGAGGAGTGGAAATGGGCAATACTTCTCGCAGTGTAATCCTTGAATCTCTTACTTTAGAAGTCACCTGGGCCCCAGCCAAGATATACAAAACAAAATAGCTAGTAATGAGTTCTTAAAAACTGCATTTAAAAAAATCCACACAGCCTATTGTTATGTAAATCAAACTGGGTTAGAGCATAAAGATCCTAAGGCAGAAGGTGTTAACATCTGTGTGGATTACAAAGAACTATGCTGCCCATTTAAACAAAATGTTTCTAAGTAAGCAATATTAAGGAGTTTAAAAATAAAATGTCACCATTTTCTATGCATTCAATTCTAAGGTTGACCATCTTAACAAATGTATGAACTGAGGACAGCTACAGTTATTATCCAGTAGCAAACCAAAAAATACATACCATATCCCACGAAACATTTGTGTGTTCACACAGGTTTTGCCAGCATAAGGCTGTTTCTGACCTTGTGTAGCCATTTTGATTGCCAAGAAATACTTCTCACCATCAAGAGAAATAATAAGTGTGTGCTCTTAGAAACTGCCACAAGCATATGAAAAACGTTTTTTCCTGAATGCTTAACATGTAAGATAGCAAACAATAACTGAACACATGTGACCACTATCTTAACTCTGCTGAGTTTTCCTAACAGAAAGACAATTTTGCTAAGATGACCACTGTGAAATAAATTGTAATAAGTCATATCAACAAAACAACAAATTCCAGTCAATAGATCAAATTTTTAATTTTAATTTAATTTTATTAATAGTTTATAAATCCACAAATGTGATATAATTTAAGAGTACATACATAATATGTGCCATTAAAAACAGCAGAGAAAATTTTACATCCTATAGCTACTATGACATAGGCGAAGCTGTGTGAAAACTGAACAGCAAGTTAAGTTGGACCATGTAACTTTGCTGTGCTAACTGAGCATCAGTTGTGCTGTGAGCTGGCACACAAACAGTGCTGTGTTAAAGAAAGTCAGTACCTCATGAAAGGTTTTTATCTCGACAAGGAGCTTTTGGTAATGTACTGGGCCAATATGGCTCGTGGTATATTATTTTAAATACCAGATTCATTTGAGTTATAAAAATAAATACTTTCACCTGTATTTTAGGTGAAAGACAACACTTTTAATAGAGAAGAAAAGCTATTTAGATCTTTAGAAAAGACCGTGAGGCACTGTGTGAAGAACATTTCATTCTGTCTTCAAAACATACAGGTAGGTGAGACCCAACTGTTTTCAATTGTTTCTACAAGCATATTGATGGCAATGTTTATTAAGAAGAATAAATGTGACCGTTATATTCAATTATATGATGACACCTACTGTATTAAATTTGGAAGGCTGCAAATTGCTGGTGAAGGAAGCCAATATAAAGACTCAGGTTTTGTTCTTTGTTACCTTACCTGCGCCCCCTTCCCCCATCCAAATTGCCAGATTGTGGAACATTTGCTCACATGATTGCCATGTGGTGTTGGACCATCAGCATACTTTCTTTATACTAGAGATAAGTTCATTAATGCAAAATTGCAGGCAAAGCAAAAATTTTCTTTGTTTATTTGTCTGATTTTCCTACCATACCTCTTTCTAGTACCTAAAACATATATTTGCAAATTTAAGAGTAGAACTGAAAGAAAAAGAAAATCAAAGGGGGATATAAATGAAATTAGAGAAGTTATAAAGTAAAAAGTACATAACATAAAGGCCATTAAAAAAAGAAAAAAAACCATAGCTGGGTCTCCAATTTAGCTGTCTGCTATCTAGCAGCCAGCCCCACAAAAGGACATGGACAATTCTAAGGCAAACTGAGCACCTCTAGATATTTTATAACCAGTGTTTTGTAATGCCTCTTGATAGCTCAGAATCAAATTAATAGATATTTCAAGTTGTCCTTAACAATATCTTGACAACGGTCACAACAATGAGACATAGTAGAATTACATGTAACTTGGTTAATAAATGGTCCCCTCCCATTTTCTAGTTTTCTCTCAGATATTTGTTTTTGGACACCGATGTTTGCATGCTTAAATATCACAGTACCAAAGGCTGACAGGCACAATGATTTGGAGACAAAGTTCTATGCTATGTAACCAACAAGCCACATTTTTTTCTTATTTATTAACAGATGCAAAGCCTGATTTTACAATTGGGTTTACTAATCTCGTCCAAAAGCACTGCCTTCCGTGAAAAAGAAAAAAAATTGTTGTAACAGCCAGAGGGCAGTGGGAACCCTATCCTTGACATATAGGAATAGATATCTCGTGAGAACATCTACAGAAAAGTCTATTTCCACCAACTGATTCAACAAAAGTATGAGCATCTTCTCTTAAAGAGAGCATTAAATTAAGGAAAACTGAAGACATAAATCTAACAAGTGTGATTTTTAACATAGGGGATCTATAAGAATTGAATGCTGAAGAATAGCCAGTGAGAGAATTTAAGACAGACTCCACTTAATAAAAGAGAGTGTCATACAGAGCAACGTGAGAAAGTGACTAAAGGAGAAAAGAAAATAGATTGTTACACATAAACCGATTTTTTTCACTTTTTTTTTTTTCTTTCGTATCTCTCAGTGGTTAACAGAGGTTTATAATAATGAAGTGCACATTTGGGATATTCTTAACTGTACTGACTTCAGAACTTTGCCCTTTTTGTAACTTTATTCTTGGGTTTCAGGATGCCATGCCGTTAGCTCTGCAGAGTGTAATGGAGCTCCAGGAGATTTCATGCAGCACAGATGAGGAG